CCTCCTGCACATCCTGCAGAAACACTGCAGAAACATACAAATCAAACTCCATGCCAAGCCACTCTCTTACTTTGACTGATTTAAAGGGGCCGAGGTATTTCATCTGCATCGATGGTGGCCACTTTGCCCGTTTTTTTACAGTCTGCTTACAAATCATGTTTTTTCTACGGCCTGTTGCTCCGTACTTCCCACTCTTCTGTTTGTCATTCTCATGTTTCCTCTCCGCCTCGTTTTCATACACTCCCTCTTGTTGGGGCTGTAAAAGTACTCTGATGATTGGATCCAATCCCCAGAGAGCTACCACACCTGGACACTTTTAAAATATGTTCCCCTTCAGTTGCAGAAAGCATAGCAAAGGATCAGCAGCAGAGGAATGCTACTTCCTGCTGTTCCTTAATCTTGATTTATCTTTCTTGCTCTTACCATCCCTGTGTGTATGTGTGACATTCTTGATGACTACATTGGTGCATTGTGTGGTGTCGAGTGGTAACAGTGGGGATGGGAGAATTGTCCCTTTGACCTCGAGGAGGAAAGAAAAAGACTTTCAGGAGGCCATAAATCTCTTTGATTAAACTCAGCTCTCTCTGACTGCTCTTTTTGTGTAGGACTGGACTGTGTGTGTTGTCTGTCATCTGGAGGATGCTCACAGACTGTTCAAATTAAAAAACCTTCAAATAGCCATGGTAACCAACCCCCCTCTCTCAGACTCTGTGTCCAAAACGCACACATCTACAAACATTACAAACGAATGTGTGGGGGAATGAACTCTTTGGTGGAGAAAGTAGATCCTGGCCATCCTGACACAGGCTTGTGACATTTTTCATTCTAACCTAAAAAATAGCATTTTTCATGCTATTAAGAACCGTTAAACATTTATAAATGTTATACTGCTTTACCTCTTTGCCACTCTAAACTGTGAACAGTGCTCCTCTCCTGTGTGGCGTCCCACAAAGGTCTCTTCTGGGTCCCCTCTTATTTAATATACATGTTTTCCCTGCGGCCAATCATGCATAAACATGACATTGGTTTTCATTACAACTATATGTCTCAATAAAACCTGGAACACATCACACTTTACCAATTTTAATATCCGCGTGCCAGGGGATATTACAAATGGAACATTGTCTCACTGACACGGTGCGCTGAACGCAACCTGAAAACTACCTTAATTAGGTCATTTGTCATTTTTGGTGACGATTAGGTACATGTAGACAGATATATGGGAACAGAACACACACACACACACACACACACACACACACACACACACACACACACACACACACACACACACACACACACACACACACACACACACACACACACACACACACACACACACACATATGCCCAAGGCCTAAACCAAAATCTCATCACAAACAGATGGTATGTCTGATACCTAATGAACACACAACATTTGGTCACCAGACAAACATTCCCTACTTCTGCTTCCATAGCTGACTACAAGGCATAATATACTGTATTTTACATTGCGTGGCTTGGCAATTTCACAAACCTTTGAATGGGAAATTGCAAATGCCTTCAGCTTCTTCCCTTTGTTGCTGTGCTGCTGATACCCTTTATTTGTTTAAAGAAGCAATTGTGTTGCTTTTGTGTTTTCTGCCATTTGCACTGGCCAGCTCCAGGGCAACTGGTGTCTGGAACATGTTCTCAGACTGAGAAAGTCAGACTTCATTCACGGCAGCCTGGGCATTGGGCTTCAAGCAATATAGATTATTTTACGCTTTGTTCCTCCTTTTGTTATATGTGAGGATGGGCAGAGAAATGAGGACCGATCCATTTGGGGTGGCAGCTTAGACTTGCTTTCTTTGGGTAATAACATGGCTCTAACGAGTAAAAGATAAACATGACTGTTTCAGTACACAACAGTTGATCAAATCCTACTTCACAAAAGCTAACCTTGTCTTTTGTACTTCTAGAGAAAATTGAGGCATTCATATTTTAGGGTGACTTTCAAGCACATTTCTCTCTTAATGTGGACACTTGGAATTACATTTTTCATTGACTATAGTGATATCAACCTACATTTAAAGTAATGTCTGCAACTGTATGGGTTTATAAGGATGTGTATTATTAACCCCTTAATGGTGGATCAGATGAAAGTGGAAGAGGGTGCAGAGGCGAAGCAGTCAGGGTGTGTTAAGTGTTTTTCTTTGGGCAGCTGCTACTGTTGTCGCTGATTGCTGAGGCCCCTCAGTCTAGGGGATTACGGCGCACACACACGACATGATTTCTATTCATGCCTCGGGTCAGTTATTTATCACAGTCTGCAAAAAATCCCCCTTCATGTACCCCACACACACACACACACACACACACACACACACACACACACACACACACACACACACACACACACACACACACACACACACACACACACACATTAAACATTCAGACTGTTTCCCATTGGATCCATAAACTCGGACAGCTAATTGAAACAGGGCAGAGATAGTTAATTAGAGTGGATACCATAGTGGTATTGGGACATATGCCTCAAACAAGCAGTCATACAGTGATCTCACTGTAGTTGGCATAAGGACAGTCAGAGAAACACTGGCATTTCTTGTTTAAGTATTCACAGAGCTTACATTTCACATTCACACTTTTATCATAGAGATATTTTAGTTCTGCTCTAAAAATGAGGTGAAGGAACCAGATCTATTTTTGCTTCTTCTGAAGGCTTTTTCACACAGATTTAGAACATTTACTCACTTTGCAATATCATGTGGATTATGTGTCTTGTCAATTCGCTCGTCTCCTGTTCTCGTTGGCAAATAATACCAATAAAGTTGGTTCAAAATAGAATCAGTGTGCTAGATTAACCACCTTTCCTACAGCGTTTGAAATCTAGGCTACGATAGGGAAGATTGATCCCACTCTCATGATTGTCTGTTAAATGTGATGGTACCACCAGCAACCAGTTAGCTTAGCTCTGTTTTGAGAAAACAAAATCCACCGAGTGGCACATTTAAGGCTTGCTAAGTCATCAGGTTTTACGTATATCTTCCTTGACTCTTGTTGTCAACACTAGTTTGCGAGGCAACCGGCGAACAGTCTTTGAAGCTGCTGCTTCCCTCTAGCTTGTAGAGAGGTATCAATCTTAGCATTTAGCCTTTAGCTGCCTATAAGAAAGTGTTAACGCACACTTCTCGAAAAATCCAACTTATCCTTTATAATGAAATAGCATTCTGTGTTGTCATATGGTCTGTCTGTCTGTCTTTTCGTCTCCTTGGCAATGTGCCAGAGCTTATAGTGTCAGGCCTGCTAGCATTTCTTATCTTTCACCGCACATCTCAACCCCGCCTCCATTGCACTCTGATGATGTAGCGCTTTTAGATTTGTCTTTTAATAATTGATGTTTCTGATTCTCTCTCTCTCTCTCTCTCTCTCTCTCTCTCTCTCTCTCTCTCTCTCTCTCTCTCTCTCTCTCTCTCTCTCTCATTCTCTGTCTTTCTCTATCTCACTTTCCCCATTATCCTTGCTTTGCCTCTGCTGCCGGGGTTTTCTGATGTCACGGTGCGTCCCTGTCTCTGTTCATTAACATCCCCCCCCCTCATCTGTCTCTGCCCTTTTTGCTCTCAGTTTTGGCTCATTTACCATTTGTTTCACTTCAGTCCAGGTTGCTAAATTCATTCAATCTAACTTGGTACATCAACACTTTAGCGCTCTATTTAATCAGGTTCAGTTTGAGTCCAATGTCCTAAAATAACTCCTTTTCCTGTTCGCCTCTCTCTTTGTACATCCTTCTGTTTCCATGGTGACAGGTCTTGGTTTGGGGTTGGGTTGGGTCGCTGGCGTCGCTCCAATCCTTTTTTCTCAGTGACAGAAGCTACTCACCCCTGTCATCGCGTGGGAGTTCAAAGACGACTTCCTTATCTCTTATATTACCCGATGAGTTCAAACAGATCGACCCCGGCTTAATAACTACTCACATAATCCACCTGTCTTTCTCCACTGAACTAACCCCCGTTTTAATGGCCTCGCGTCTAAATTGGCCACTGGTCTACGTCTGTCACATTTGTTTTGCTAATGTGAGATGAATGGAAAGTCTCTCTGGAGATTATGATAATGCATTCATGCTCACGAAGGGGAAGCATGTTGGAGGGAGGTGGGGGGCACCGTGTAATTTGTGTGTGTCCCCTGCTGGAGGTAAAAGTAATAAAAAATGACTCGAGACATTTTGGTTATTGATTGCTGGTCCTTGTGTTCAGCAAGACACGGCCATTTACTGGGTATTCCCTGGAGAGCTTGGAGGATGTGCCCGTGTATTCATGAAGCGCTGTGTGTGCATTGATGAATGGATTCAAGTCTGTTAGCTTTGAGATATATGTTCCTTTGGCTCAATTCTGTTTTGTCTTCTACATTTTTCGGGAACCAATAGTGTTCTCTATAGGCTCTATTATGCTGTTTGGGGTTGTCCCTTTCCTGTAGTGTGTTATACAGGTTTTTGTGCATGTAAATGACATCACTATGTAACCCTCGCGCTTCTGTTGGTTAGCGCTCCAAAACATTGTACGTGATAGGCTAAGGGGCGGGACATCTCTAAGCGGTTGACCAATCACAACAGAGCCGGCCAGCTAACCAATCAGAGCAGACTGGGCTCTGGTTTCAGACAGAGGGTGAAAAGAGGTTCTGCAGCACAGACAGTATGAGAAAAATAAAGAGCTTTTTGAACATTAAAGCATGGAGACAATACATACAGTACTAATATGAACCTGGAAATGAGCCCTTTGAGGTTTGAGTACATTTATTTTCTTTTAAGTGCTGTTTTATGTCCTGGTGCTGATTAGGTAATGAGAGGAACCATTACCATATTATTATTTGCACGAATGTAAGCTGCGCAGGACTTCGAAATAAATGTTGTGGCACAGTTTTTATGCATATGATATTGTGCATGGTGGTATTCATGTATACAGTTATAAAACGGATTGGTCCATAAAGAAGGGTGTCTAATGTTCTCCTTCTCATTGTTGCAGGTTTGAACCACCCACTGAAGACAGACTGCGGCTGAGATTAAATCCTCACTGGTAAGTAAAATATAGCTAATTACAACACCCTCCCTGCTTTACTATTATATCCATTATTCGATTCTTGGTAACCCTGGTCTTGTGATGTTGTTTTTCTCTGCTCCTACATGCTGTGTACACACTGATGCTACTGTGTACACACTGATGCTACTATGTGATGTTTTTATGTGTGAATCAGCGTCTCTTAAACACCCAAAAACAACTTTTGCTGATGGCATGTCTGGCCTTGTGAACTAGTGATAAGTGGCTGTGTTCAGTATAAGCCTGAGAGGATCACTGCACTTTTGCTTGGATTCATATTTCTGTATTTCATCTAAATGTAATCAGACAGTCTCATTCAGATTAAAATCTCTTACCCATGAAAGACTTGAGAAAAACAAACATTCAATATGAGTACCCAGCATGCATTGGACGAGGACTGGAAAAATAGAAGCCACATGTCCCTGTGTAACCTGCTGCTCACCTGCTGACACCTGACACACTCACATGCAAATACCGGCCACACCACACACAAAAAGAGACATCGCAGGTGCTTTTCAACACAATTAGGTATTATACTTGAAATAAATTGGCACATTTTTTCAGATTTATCATCAGTTTGTTAAAAAGGAACACCCGTTTTCCAAATATATATTGCCTTTGTGAATGTTGTATAAGGAAAGAACAACACAAATCTCAATACACAATTCATTTTGATGCGTTACAATGAAAAACTCCTCACATAACAGGCGAGTAGTACAAAGCACACTGCATCTGCCTCACGCACAACCCATAAAACATATGCATCAGTAGGGAGCTATCGCAGTATTATATAACACACCACTACAATGTTTCCACCTCCCTTTACTATCAGTACCTGAATAGCCACGTGAGAGCACTCCAGCGTATTGCACTGATCCATAATTTGAACAGTGAGTCATTATCACAGCAGTTTATCTGACTGAAAAGATGTCATGGAAAAGTGGTTTGAGTTCAGTTATTGCAGGTTGTGTTGATGGATCTCCCTCTCTTCTCCCAATCTTTGCCCTCCCACCGCCCGCCCCCCCCCCTCCTCCTCTATATGAGTAATCCTGATGAACAGATGGGCGGAGGAGAAAATAAAAGGGGCATGCCAGCTTGTTGCGCTGCCATACCGTGTCAATCAGGCCCCTCCCCCCTCTCACCTCCCGCCTTGTTCCTATCCCATCATCCACTTCTATCTCCTATCAACATTGCAGCCTGATCCACTTCAATCTAACACCCCCACCCCCTTTTATCATTACATCCTTATATTTGCTCCACTACCCCTGATTACCAGACGATTGATCAGTCTCACCATCTGTTTTACCTTCCACCAGATTGCTATTTACTTCACTTTCTTGCACCCAAGGCAACAATATTTTTATCCCAACAACAGGCCCTAGAACATTATCAGTCTGCATAGTGTCCTGTACATGCTTTCGAAGGACGTGATGAAGCCACTACACATGTTTCTTTAAAGCTTCATCAGTCCTCATAAAATGGAAAAGATGTATATGACGCTCTGCCATAAACAGTCGTCCTCTGAAGGACACATAAACAGTCATACTAATGTAGAGACACACACACACTGTAACTCATGGCCACCCGGAGTCACGTACCAAGGCCACGTGCGTCTATCTGCTCATCAATACCTTTTACCTAGCAATAGCACCCAGGAATACCAATGAGACGTGGCTGGTTTACAAGCCCGGCTGGATTTATGTGGCCACGGTCATACTGACACACTGTGTTAGAATGAGACCTACTATTGATTTCAGGTTCTTTCATCAACTTAATTTCCAATATTTCAGCTATAAGATTTGTATTATTTTATACGTCACTGCTGAATATCAATTACCTTTTCATACGCAGTTTTTTGATTGATTTCTTTGTTATTACAGCCTATGTTTTCTCTTCAACATACTAGGGTTTAGCAATCAAAACCTGTCATTAATACACTCTCACTCACAAGTGATTTTGCAGATGTGTTTTTGCCCTAATTTAGGATCGGGATTTACATTTATTTGAAAGGGAAGTAATGATTATACATGATTGGATAAAATATGTATGGACATAAATGACCAATAGGGAGCAACAAAACATATTTGTTGTTTTGTGTCAGGGGCTGCATTTTAGAACAACTGAAAAATATCTAAGGATTGGGTAAGGAATGTTAGGAAGGTGGTTTATTGCTCATGTTATCGTTATTCATTTACATATACAGTATTTGTATACAAAAACAACACAAAAACAACCCTAACCCTACACACGCACGCACGCACGCACACACACACACACACACACACACACGCACAAACACACAAAACCAAGCCCACACACACAGCCAGCATGACCCTCTGCTCCGGCTGAGCCCTCAGCTTTTGATGTGATGACCTTAGACAGGCGTGACATGCACTCACAAACACGGGCATGAACACACCCACACACAGAGACACACACACGTGGGCACACATACACATTAGGGCACACACCCAACACCCAGCCAACCCCCCCCGGCAAATATCAAACATGTCCATACGCCCGGCAAAATGCCATTTCGCTGTGTGAAAAATGCAATGTGCTATCCTCAAAATATCCCAGTGTTATGATTGGACGTCAGATGAAGTACATTTTAATGGCAGCTGTCAGTAATGGCTTCAGATGGGTTAGGCATGGTTCAGTCCAGTGCTTAGTTTTCGAACAATTATCACCTTTCAAAACCATTCCAGTCCCAGTGTACAGTCATTTGAATGGTTTATTTTTGGTCATCATACTTTAGAGTGAGCTTTTTAATCATTTTGACAGAGCAAAGGGTGGACACAGGTGTGAGATGATTTTTTGAGTATTATACTGTTAAAAGCAAAGCTGTAGGCTGCTATTACTTATTATTATTTGTCTATCAAAAACACCTTACTTGACCTCATTTGATATTTTTGATCTTCCTTTTATGGTTGACCTTCTTTATATTATGACCTTGTTTTATATTGTTGTCATTATTTCATAGGGTTTTTAGTATCAGGGAGGAGCATAGCACTAATGCTGTATTGGTGTTTGCATTGCAATAAAACAACCATTAAGATGTCCTATCGTATCTCCTTGGTATGTTCTTTAAGTTATCTTTGAGATACATATATATTATAGTAGTATGCAGTCAAAAGTGTCCTTGAAAAAAGGCATAAGAACTATATTTTAATCAGGATAAATCAGGTAAGATTCAGACGACACTACCCCTTTCCCTTGAATTCATCTTGTTTTTTGGACACTGGATGGTAGAAGTATATTTCAAAACAATATTGCATGAGTGTTATACCCTATTTTCCCACCAGATATGAGTGCATTTTCCTTACTATCATTCCTATGTGCTCTGTGATACGGTAAAGAAGTATATCCTCTTGAAATATAGCAGCCTTTTTTGATCGCTAAAGGCATCATGTTGTGCCCTAGAACACCCCTGCCGTTTCAGCGTTATCACAGTGGTCAACAACATGAAGGACAAAAGCCCCCGTGGGGTGGTTGTAGAGGTGCGGCTGGAGGGATGGGGGGGGGGGGGCGGCGTGCTGACCATCAGCACTTCACAAAGCCTCAGAGAATAGCAGGCGCTGCTGGGGGATTCTGCGGATGGTGCTAGAAAAACTGATCCTTGAAAAGGGAAAGCCCTCTGTGTATCTATGTGTGTGTGTGTGTTGGTAGTTTGTTTTGATTTTGGTGGCTGTGTGTGATCCGGTTTGGGGGCTTATGGAGACAAAGAGGCTGCCTTTCACCCCAAGGAAGTGGTGTTAGTGTAATGAAGGCTCTTCTTACAATAACTTCCAATGTAGCTTCCTGAAATCAGCAGTCATATCATGACGCTCTCTTAAAGACAGGGTTCTTACGGTCATTAAAAACCAGGAAAAGTCATGGAAATTCAAAATGCTAATTCCAGGCCCTGGAAAAGTTATGGAAAACAATATTTTTCCCCAAGTTTTGGAAAAGTCATGGAAATGTAACTAAAGTTGCATAAAATATAATTTATATTTTATCTAATCGCCGAAATAGTAATACTATAATGATAATAAATACTGTATCGTATAGTAATGAAACGTAAAATGGCATTTAACTGACGAGGTATTTTGCCGGTGAGAGATTGTAGTTGCTTTAGCCTGTAGAAGCTAGTAAGCCTATTTGATTTGTTTTAGATAGGCACAACATGTTTCATATGCAGACCTTATTTTCCTGTTCCATGTTAAAATAAACCATTTTCAGTGGTACCGCTGAGAAAGAGTCATTTTTTTGGTCATGGAAAATTAGGTAAAGGTCATGGAAAAGTCATTGAAAATCATTGGTGAAAAAGTGTATGAACCCTGTAAAGACATTAAGACAACCTATTATGCTCGTTTTCAGGTTCATATTTCTGTTTTGTGTCTCTACTAGGACATGTCTCCATGCTTTAATGTTCAAAAAGCTCTTTATTTTCCTCATACTGCCTGTGCTGCAGCACCTCTTTTCACCCTCTGTCTGAAACCAGAGCCCAGTCTGCTCTGATTGGTGAGCTGGCCGGCTCTGTTGTGATTGGTCAACCGCTTAGAAATGTCCCGCCCCTTAGAACATGTCCATGGAAATAAACCAGTAAGGCAAGTATAACCTGAGCCTCACTGGAAGTTATTGTCTTTTATTACTCCACACCTCACCTCTGGGTTTGTTGAGTGTCAAGTGTTTTTTAAGTGAAAATATACCTTTCATAACACAGTGCAAAGCCTCACTTTAGCTTTAGTGTGAGCGCTTTATTCCCATCCCTCATATAATGTCTCTCCTTACTTTCAAAGAGAAGAAAACGTGTAACATTATCCACCTATTGTCTGTAGCACAAATGAGATTTTGTTCGGTTGCTTGATGGGGGTTTGTCAAGGAAGAAGACAGTAAGAAGTATAAGGGGAAGAAGAGACAGTGTAATCAGCTAATAAAGTTATCAAATTGACAGAAATGGTAACAAGGACTGAGAGCTGTTTTTTGTTTTCTCCTCT